CTCTCCCCCCTCTCTCTCTCCCCCTCCCTCTCCCCTCCTCTCTCTCCTCCTCCCTCTCTCCTTCCCTCCCTCTCTCTCTCTCTCCCCCTCCCTCCCTCTCTCTCCCTCCCTCTCCCTCTCTCTCTCCCTCTCAGGATGTTGAGAAGTTCTGTTCTACAGTGACGGAGTTATATTCCAACATTAGCAAACCAATACTAGACATATGCCTTTATTTCTATCAGTTGTCCAGCAGCATAGGAGCACAAGGACCTCTCGTCATGTTACTGTATCTCGCATTCGCTGGTCTCTTCTTAACAAGGTCAGTATATTATTAGTATACTATTAGTGCATTATTAGTAAATTTTTGGTGTATTATTAGTATTTGTACGTTATTTCGTATTATAATTGGACGTGCATTATTATTGACAGTCATTTGTATTATTTGTTAGTATATTAATTAGTATATTATTGGTATATTATTTGTATACTATAGGTTGAGAGCCCCTGTTGGTAGAATGACAGTCAAGGAGCAGCAGTTGGAGGGAACTCTACGTTACGTCAACTCACGTGTCATCACAAACAGGTACTACATGTACATGTATCATGTGACTGTCATGTGACCTTATAGCGAGGAGATATCGTTTTATCAAGGGAATAACAGGGAGAGATTGACTATTGAGGAAACATTTAAACATTTGGTAAGTAACTGTATGTTACTATTGAGGATATAAAGTTACTGGGAGATTTTATTTGATGTATATACATGTACTTATGTTGTGTAGAAAGTTTGAGCTGATTCTGATCGAAATTGGATTTTTTTATGAATTTTTAAAGTTGCTCCAAAATCGGGTCAAAGTCCCTGTATTGTAGTACATGGTCTCAGGCCTAATTTTGCCAAAATTCAAAAGTAGAGCATTCTCCATTTTTATGATGTTCCCTGATGTATATACATGTTCTTATGTTGTGTAGAAAGTTTGAGCTGATTTTAATCAAAGTTGGATTTTTTACGAATTTTTAAAGTTGCTCCAAAATCGTGTCAAAGTCCCTGTACTATAGTACATGGTCACCAGCCAAATTTTGTCAAAAATGACTAAGAGAGAATTCTCCATTTTAATGATATTTCCTGATACATATACATGTTCTTATGTTGTGTAGAAAGTTTGAGCTGATTCCGATCAAAATTGGATTTTTTACGAATTTTTATAAATTGAAAAGGAGAGAATTCTCCATTTTTTATAATTTCAGATGTATACATGTTCTTATGTGATTTAGAAATTTTAGAACTTATTCCGATCAAAATTTTAAGATTTTGATCTAAACTAATGTAATATTTTAATCTTTTAATTAATATTTTTATCTTTTTTTAGGTGAAGCATCTTCGTAGTGTCATTCACTTTCGGTTTGCTATGGGTTTCATCGACAATCTCACTGCTAAATGTCAGTATAACTCTGTATATTTTCAGTAAAACTTTTCATATCTCACTTCAATTAATCTCAGTATATTTTTGTATATCTCTATAAAATTTTGTATACCTCTGTAAAATTTTGTTTATCTCTATAAAATTTTGTATATCTCTGTAAATTCCTTGCTCATTTCTTGTAGATTTTGCTACTGTTGTTGGTTACATGGTTGTCAGTCGTCCTTTCCTCAATCTCTCTCACCCGAGACACTTGAGTAGCACTCATCACCAGATAATGCTGGTAGGGAGGATCATGTGACTATCATGTGACATTATGTACATGTACATGTATACTTACATGTATGTTAGTACATTGATAGAGACCACTCTAACTAAAAATGGGAGATTTTAAGACACCTAGGCTAAACACATGTATGTGTATGAGAGACTAAAAGTTCTAAAGGAATTTAGTCTCTCATACT